TTTTCAGGGCATGGTGCATGTGTTTGTATATTTGCATGTATGCATGTGTACATAATCAGCAACTATGAAATTGTCAGGGGAAGAAGCACTATCTGGGAAATCATGACCACGCAGGATCCAACGGAGAGGGTGAAGTTTCCAAATGAAATGATAACAGAAGAGCTTGATAAAACTCCCTACTGCTAGGGGTCAGAGTACTGGCAGGGAAGATGAAGCCCTTACAAACAATTAGGAAAAGCAAACAAAAGTCGTGATTAAGAACTTAGGTTTTTGGAGTAGAGTGTTCGAGTCCCAGCTTTCTAACTTATTAGCTATGTAACTTTCAGTAATTTACGTCTCTCTTTACTTGTCTGTATGATGCCTACTCTACTCCAGAGGTGATGGAGCTCACAGGCACACATGGTTGCTACCTAAAATGAGACCTACAATAACCCTGGTGGGCATGGATTGCAGTGTCTGGTCAAGGAGTCTCTGCAGCGCAGAGTGAGAGAAGGTGTCTTCAAATATACCTTTTCTCTGGGGGTAGTGTCCTTGGGTGAAGCTTACTGGATCCCTTCAAGGCTCTAGAGATTGGATTTTCTGGATTTGACATCCAATCCCTCCTTTTGGAGATAAGATTAGGTGGGAAAAGACCTTCTGGAGTGAAAGGCCACCATGGGGGCTTATGATATTGTGATACACTAAGAAAGAGATATTTGGTCTTTGTCTTGGTTGATTTTGCATTGCAATAAAAGGATACCTGAGGCTGGATAGTTTCTAAAGAAAAGGGTTGAATACCCCAGCTTTTCCACTCTTTCACTCTTGCCATTTCTTCATTTTATTTTATTTTATTTTTTAAATTTTTTTAGTGGTAGAGTCTCACTACGTTGGCCACCTTGGCTTTGAACTCCTGGGCTCAAGCAATCCTCCCGCTTCAGCCTCCCAGTGCACACCACCACATCTGGCTGTACTTCCCATTTCAAAAAACAAGCCCTACCCGCCTTTTCCCAACTGACACTCATTATTCCTCTTTCATACTTGACAAACTTTCACTGAAAAGTAGAAAGGAACCAGAGAGTATGACATTTTATTAAGTGTCTTAACACTTACTGAAAGGCTGTTCTAACTAGTAATTAAGAATACGAGCTTTGGCTGGGCCCAGTGGCTCATGCATATAATCCAGCATTTTGGGAGGCTGAGGCGGAAGGTCAGCTTGAGCCCAAATTCAAAACCAGCCTGGGCAACATAGTGAGACCCTGTTTCTAGCAAAAAAAATTAAAATTAAAAGATTAAGAAAAAGAACATGGGCTTTGGAGTCAGATGTATCAGGATTTGAATTCCAGCTCTATGGATTCCCAGATGCAGGCTTTGGTAAATAAATCTCAGTTTCCTCATCTACAAAATGGGGATCGTAATACCAGCTTGAAAGTTTTCTGAACATTAAACTAGATATCTTAAAGAGACTAACAAGGAAGTTGATAAATGGTAGCTAATATTTCTACTCTGTTCTTATTTCTTTCCTGATGCCAAGTGTTTTACATACTTATCAGCCCAATAAGTGGGCATAATTATTCTCATTTTATAGGTGAAGGAATTGAAAGTAAAAAATTTGGCTGGGTGTAGTGGCTCATGCCTGTAATCCTAGCACTTTGGGAGGCTGAGGCAGGTGGATCACCTGAGGTCAGGAGTTTGAGATAAGCCTGGCCAACATGGCAAAACCTCGTTTCTACAAAGAAAAAAAAAATTAGCTGGGCATGGTGGCATGTGCCCATAGTCCCAGCTACTTGGGAGGCTGAGGCAGGAGAATCACTTGAACCCGGAAGGTGAGATCATGCCACTGCCCTCCAGCCTGGGTGACAGACTCCATCTGAAAAAAAAAAAAAAAGAATTCATGAGGTGAAATAGATATTATATTAGTTATACTGTAGATAAGGAAGTGGAAGCATGAAGTATTTAAATAACTCATTCATGTCTCAAAGTGAAGCAATTATGGGGCAGGGATCCAAAGCCATGTCTATTTGATCTGGAATGTGTTAACTTCCTGATATTTCACAATTTGCTATTAGTTGTCATTCCTGACAGGTTGTGATAGTGATGGTGATATTTATCAGCTACATTAATTTTTAAGAATCAACTTTGGTCACAGACCTGAGATATCTTCATGACTATTGTAAGTAAGGATGAGAGTACCAGATGGTAGAGAAGGGGATAGTCCTCTATGTTGCATTTTTTCCATCTGGCTCTATGCCCTTAGAAACAATGGGTGGTCCTTTGTTTTCTTTTATAACCCAAACAATCTATGATTATCTTTCTGCAGTAGCCCTAGTCAATTAGTATTAGCTGAAGTTACATTATTTTAAATAGCACTGTCAGGAGCTCTGTATAACAGTGTTTTTTACTGTTTAAATTTACAATCTATTGATGAACCAACATAAAGATATCAAAAGATAAAGATATCATGAGGCTGGCAGCCCAGCCCCTAGCCTTTAGACCTTCCTTGGACCCACCCTCTTCAGCCCAGGAATCTGCCTCCCACTGCCATTCATGGCACCCAGTCTCAGCCTCAACTTTGCTCCAAGAATGGAGCAGGCGCCAACAGCAGGGAGAAGCCAGGCAGCAGGAGCAGGCACATCTGAGCCTGTGGGGGCATGCGGGGCCTTCCCGGGCCCCAAGAGTGCAGGGATGTCTGGGTCTGCAGCCGTGGTTTCGGTCCCCCAGGAGGGCAGGTCTCCTATTCCTGGCCTTCCAAGAGCACAGAGAGGCTCAGATCTGCAGCCACAACTTGGGCAGGGCTCCTCCTACTCTGTGGAGCAGGAGGCCCAGGTCTGCAGCTCTGCTGCAGAGGCACCTGGGGAACTCCCATCCCAACCCGGAAGGGGTGGGTCTGTTGCTTGTCCCTGGATCCCGCCAGAGGGTGCAGCCCTGGCCATGCCTCTCTGCTGCAGCAGCAGGCCGTCTAGAGCAGCCACTGCCATCACTAGTGTAGTGAATTTTCATTGATTTTATTTTGTCTTGGCATCCATTTCGAATATGTTTAACTTTCTCACATGAGAAGCCGGGCAATCACCTTTGACCCAGTTTCCAGTTCTCTGCTTCCTCCCAGTTCTCTGCTTCCTCCCAGTTCTTCAGTGTGATCCATCCAGGTAGCTGCCTAATGCAACTGCCTCCTGGTGACCATCTCCCTATGGGAGAGGTAAATGCAGCCTGCTTGACTCACCTGTTGACCTCCATAACCCACATGGACTGTGTACATGGGCTCCAGTGACTACCTCACAGTGACAGGGTGACTGCATGGAACTTGTGCCTGCTTGCTCTAAACCCACCAATTAGAACTCCCATGCATAACTGCTTGGGTAACACCCTGGACCCCAATAGAGGCTTTAGCTCCACAGGTATCACCTTCTTTGCTCCCTTTCCACTGGCTGGCTCCCGCCAGAGAGGGTGCAGCCCTGGCCATGCCTCCCTGCCGCAGCAGCAGGCTGTCTGGAGCAGCACCTCCAAATTTACCCTCCCCCTGAAGACAAGACCAAATTAGAAAGAAACCAAAACAATAAAAATCACAACACCCAGCAGTCAGTGAACATCATCATCAGAAAAGAGGAAAGATACAAAGGAAGCAAAGTTTTTCGTTGCTGTAAACTTCAAGAAAAATTCCCTTTATGGAACTTTACTAAAGATAGAATAGAAAGTGGGCTGCCCACGGTGGCTCACGCCTCTAATCACAGCATTTTGGGAGGCCGAGGTGGGCGGATCACTTGATGTGAGGCATTCGAGACCAGCCTGGCCAACATGGCGACACCCGTCTCTACTAAAAATAAAAAAAATTGGCCAGGCGTGGTGGCACGTGCCCGTGGTCCCAGCTACTCAGGAGGCTGAGGTGGGAGGATCATTGGAGCGTGAGATACCCGAGAGTGCAGTGAAATGAGATCACACAACTGAACTCCAGCCTGGGCGACAGAGCCAGAACCTGCCTCAAAAAAAAAAATATTATTAATAAAAAGTTAGCTTTCTAGAATGACAAAACCAGACTTCTCACCCCACACGGGAGGAAGGCAGCAAATCACGCTGCCATGTGTGTACCTATGCAACAATCTTGCATGTTCTTCACATGTACCCCCAAACCTAAAATGCAATTAAANAAAAAAAAAAAAAAAGGTGCCTTCAACATCATTCTACAGCAGATGCAGTAATGGAATTCAGTCTATGTTTTCTTTTTACATTGGGTAAAAGGTGAGGACATAATGAAGGATGTTTTGCTTAGGACTAACAATTATAAGAAATTTGTATGGCAGGCACTAGGCATATGCTCATAACAGCACACCTTTCAAACAGTATCCTTGAATACAAGCTTTCCCATTAGAGATCTGATAAAAGCTAGGTAGCAAAAATTCTACTACAATGTGCTTTGATGAGTACCTACACACTAAATTGACATCCTGAGTTGCTGGAAGAGCTACATACTCTAAATCCCATCTCAGACTACGGCTTGTTTGAACCCTTTGTAGGACTCGTTCCATCCCGGAAGAGCCATCGTACACCTACCCATATGAGTGGGTGGGCTGGAGAACTCCTTTCCTTGTTTGCCGTTCTCATCCCCTTCCTGAACGCCACGTAGTAAACATCACTTATGCTTATCAGGCACGCTTAACCAGCAACATGGGACACATGAGCATGTCAGTGTCCCACGATGGGCTGCCACACTTTCAGCCAACTTGAGGAGACAAAACATTGTTCATTTTTGCATCTTTCTTAACACAGAACCGCAGCATGGTCCAGGGAATACAGAGAGACAATTCCCTCCGGTAGTTCTTATAGAAAAGCCTTCCCTGAACGATTCCATAGCCTTGGAAAACTTTCTTTCCTTCTGTGTTGGACAAACCATCAAACATCGCGGCGGAGAATGGGGCAAGGCCTCGGGTCAAGGGGCCGGGGCGGGGCGGTGAGGGGCGGGCACACGCTCCAGAGGGCGGGGCCAGGCTGGAGTCAGGCTGCAGGGGCGGACCGCAGCTGCGGGTCGGGGCGCCGTGCGCGTGCGCGCGGCAGGTCGGCGCCGGGCGGGGGCGGAGCGACAGTCGCAGGCCCACGCCGTAAACAGACAACATGGCGGCCGCGGTGGCGACTGCACCTGGGACATTGGGATCCCTGCATGCTGGCGGCGTCCGCCTGGTAGCTGCTTGCAGTACACGGCTCTGCCGGGGGTTGAGGCTTCCCGGCTTGTTGGCAGGCCGGCGGGTGGGCCCGGCGTTCTGGGCCCAGAGCTGGGTGCCTGCGGCCGGGGGTCCCGCCCCAAGAAGGGGCTACAGCTCTGAGGTGAAGACGGAGGACGAACTACGGGTGCGGCACCTGGAGGACGAGAACCGAGGTGAGGTGCGAGCGCGGGACAGGCGCGGTCGCCCACAGGACGGGCAAAAGGTGCAGCGTCCGCTTGTAGGACGTGGGGTCGAGGTTTGGCAGGCGCTCCTAGCCTGGGTCCCTCCCCTTCCTTACCTCCCCACTCACCCCAGCGTGGGCCGTTTCCTTGTGCACCTTCTTGCTTTCAATACTTAAACGGGTACTCCGGAGCAGCTTACCTGTAAAGTGACCGCATTCCTCGCGGCAAACAGAAGTGCAGCTTACGCCCTCCGCTCCAGACAAGCCAAGGTCAATATATACCCTGGGTATTTAATCCTTACTACCAGGCTTTATTCTTGCTGTGTAATGGCTTTCCGTAAACTCAGCTGTTAGTGGTGGAGTTGTAAAAGCTGCAGTGAAACTGCGTTTTATTATTACGAAGAATTTTGAATTTGAAGCTGCTCAGCTGGAACAGTTTTTCGTCTTGTTCATTTTATCTTAGTAAGTTAGTCTTGAGGGACTATTCCACTTCATTTAAACAATTTTGAGCACTTTGTTATTTTGCTGTGCTCTGAACAGAATGTGGATGGTATTGTTCTTGCCCATGAGCTACCTACTATGGGAGGAGACATCATTAGTAGCAGTACAATACAGAGGATGGAAGGCTTTGAAGGAGGTTGTCTTTTCTAGGGAATACTGTTAAAGCTCAGTTCCTTTCACTGGCAGTGAAGGGAAAAGCTAAAAGGGTCGTAAAGGGTGGAACAGCAGTTTACCCGGTGTAAGCCAGAGGACCAGTCTTAATTTTGACATGCTTTTGTTGAGCACCTATAATCTGTTAAGCAGAAATGAAAAGCGAGTAAGCCATAGTTGCGGTTAGTATAGTGAAGCAGATCCTGGTTTTTGGTAGGCGGTGTGAACTTTGAAGGCATGGTAAGAGGAAAGGGCTGTAATATCTGCAGGGTTTCGTCATATGAAAGGGTGGTCCAAGGCATTCTTTAATAGGCAGTGGATTTTGCCATTTGCGAGGGTTCTTGGGCAGACTTCTCTTAACTATCTCACATGTAAAACAGGAAAAATAATACCAACCTTATAGGTTTGCTGTGAAGACGAGATGAGATTGTTAATATAAATTGCCACTATCTAGCCTGTAGCAGATGCTCAGTAGTGTGGTGAATTACTTTACTCCTTTCTTGTTTATTATTACAGACAGAGACAAGAACATGGTCAAAGCATGGAGATGTGAACATGTATGATGTATTTGGGAAGTAACATAAGGCAAGTGTGGCATGATAAACAGAATAGTAAGAAATTCAGCTGGAAGTGTAGATTGGCACTGGAGTGAGTAGAGCTTGAATGCCACCACCTTTTGGGTAAGCTTAGTCATGCTGGGACTTCACTTCCGTTAAGTGTACCAACAATATGTTAGATATAAAGGGATTGCAAGTACAGCTACTAATATGCACCATATTCTATTTTTCTTTTTGTTTTTTTTTTTTTTTTTGGTCTTTATAACTTGAATAAAATTGAAAATACATTTATGCAAAATGTCTGGCAAGACGTTGAGTTATGATCTCAATGGACCAAAAGAGAGAATATCAAATAATAAAAAACAATAAACAAAAAACGAAATGTTTTTTGAATGTCAAGGTTCTTTTTTTTCTTTGGCCTTCATTTCCTGATAAGATAGAACACCATGGTTTCTTAAAGTTGATCCCGCCTCTTTTGAGGTTTGGCAAGAATGAAGACTCAGGCTTGGCTAACATTGTTTATGCTTTGCTTTGTTTTACTGTTAAACCAGCAGTAAGCAATGCAAAGAAAAACATGAGGCCCGGCCGGGCGCGGTGGCTCAAGCCTGTAATCCCAGCACTGTGGGAGGCCGAGGCGGGTGGATCACGAGGTCAAGAGATCGAGACCATCCTGGTCAACATGGTGAAACCCCGTCTCTACTAAAAATACAAAAAATTAGCTGGGCATGGTGGCGCGTGCCTGTAATCCCAGCGACTCAGGAGGCTGGGGCAGGAGAATTGCCTGAACCCGGGAGGCGGAGGTTGCGGTGAGCCGAGATCGCGCCATTGCACTCCAGCCTGAGTAACAAGAGCGAAACTCCATCTCAAAAAAAAAAAAAAAAAAAAAAAAAAAAACAAAAAAAAACATGAGGCCCAACAGGTGAAGGAGTTTCCTGGATGCCTTTGTTTCTCTTAGAGGTTGGTCAAAATTTGGTGCTGTCAGCAGCCCCTAAGGAATATGATTGATAACTCTCCTAGTCATAGAAACCCCAAACAGCATGCAGCACTTTAGGTGGGATGGGGTTCCATGTTTGTCATTTGTAATCTGTTATCTGAGCGCCATATTTGTAATTTGCTTTGGGAGACATAGCTCTATAACCAAATTTTCTTTCTTTTTCTTTTTTTTTTTTTTTTTTTGAGACGGAGTCTTGCTGTTTCACCCAGGCTGGAGTGAAGTGAAGTGGTGCGATCTGGGCTCACTGCAACCTCTGCCCCTGCCCCCGTCCTGTTGCCTGCAGGGCTTTCTTAACTGTTGGGCATCTCATAGTCCATCTCCTTGCCACTGGACCTGAGCTCTGCCTTTTTCTGTTCTTTTCTTTTTGTAGGCTTTTGCACACACTTTCTGAAATGACTCCTCCCCTTCCCCGTCAACCTTCCTGCAATTTGGCATAATTATGACCCTTTTCAAAAATCATCTTTTTGAACCGTGTCAGAACAACTTCTGGCAGAAATGGAGCAAACAAACCATTGCATAGTGCAGATCGTCCTTGATACCTGTTCCTTCCTCCTTTTTCACATCTAGATTGTCATCAGGTCTTCTTGTGTTTGAAATCTTTCCATGTGTTTCTTTACTGACAGCATCCTTGTCTGAGCTTATCAAGTGAACTGCTGCAGAGGCAGCAGGTTTTTCTGTGTCTACTGTCTTTTCTTATTTAAGAAGTTGATTCCTTTTGTATGTTTTTTTTAATGTTTAAAACATGTTTTTATATATTTTATAGTATGTAAATTATATCAATAAATATATGTATTTGATGTGTATGTACGTATTTTTAAATATTTAAAATTAAGATTTAATCTCATCTATATTGAGATGTAAATCGTATACCGTAAAATTCAAAATGTAGAGTTGTTTTTAGTATATTCACAGTTATGCTTTGTCAACTCAAGCCAATTTTAGAACACTTATCAGATCAAAAATAAACCCTGTAGTCTTTAGCAGTTACTCCCTACTTCCCTGCTTATCCCTCCCCCATTAAAAAACCCACATTTATCTACTTTTTGTCTCAATAGATTTGTCTATTCCAGGCATTTATATAAAAGAATAGTATAATAAGTGGTGTTTTTGTGCCTTCCTTCACATAGCATTATATTTTCAAGGCTGATCCTTGTTGTAGCTTGTACCAGTATCTCTCTCTTTTTAATGGCCAAGTAGTAGGTATGGATATATTACATTTTGTTAGTCTATTCATTATTGATATACATTTGGATTATTTCCATTTTTTGGATAATATGAACCATGCTTCGGATTATTTCCAAGAAACTATTGCCTAACCCAGGTTTACAAAGATTTACACTTACGCATTTTCTTCTATGAGTTTTATGTTTTTTGCTGCTACGTTCATTTGTGACTATAATCCAATTTTGAGTTAATTTTTATATATGGTGGGTAGTAAGAGGTCTAACTTCATTCTTTTACTTGTGGATATCTAGTTGTCCTGGCAACATTTTTGGGAAAGACGAGTCTTTCAATATTGAGTTGGCTTGGTACCCTTGTTGAAAATTAATTGACCATAAATGTAAGGGATTACTTCTGGATATTCAAGTCTATTTCATTGATCTGTGTATCTATCCTTATGCTAGTACCAAACTGATTTCTGTAGCTTTGTAGTAAAATTTGAAATTGGATAGCATGAGTTCTCCAATCTTGTTCTTTTAAAGGAGTGTTGGCTATTACGGGACTCTTGCATTACCATGTGAATTTTAGGATCAGCTTGTGAATTTCTGCCAAAAAAAACTACTGTGGGATTTTGATAGGGATCACATTGAATAGGTAGATTAATATGGGGAGTATTGTCATCTTAACTTAAGTCTTCCAATCTATGATCATGAAGTTTTTTTCCATTCAACAGTGTTTTGTAGTTTTCAGTGTACAGTGTACAGGTTTTACACTGTTTTAGTTAAATTTATCCCAAAGTATTTTATTGAGTTGTAAATACAATTTTTCTTAATTTCATTTTCAGATTTCTCATTGTATAGAAATTACAAAATAAATTGATTTTTGCATATTGGCTTGTATCATACAACTTTGCTGAACTTGTTAATTTGTCCCTAATAGTTTTTTTAGTGAATTTCTTGATATTTCCTATGTACAAGACTGTGTCTTTTGCAAATAAATAATTTTGTATTCAGTTGGCTCTACTGTTCAGTTAGATCTTGTTGATTGATGGTGGTGTTCAATTCAACTATACTCCTACTGATTTTCTGCCTATTGGATATGTCAATTTCTAATAGAAGTATGTTAAAATATGCAACTATAATAGTAGGTTTGTCTGTTTGTCCTTGCAGTACTATCAGTTTTTACCTCACATAGTTTGATGTTCTATTGTTTGGTGCATACATATTTAGGATTATTATGTCTTGCTGGAGAAATGACCCCCTTTTCATTATGTAAGGCTTTTGTTTATTTTAATAGCTTTTGGGGTACAAGTGGCTTTTGGTTACAAGTGGATGAATTGTATAGTGGTTAAGCCTGAGATTTTAGTGTACCTGTCACTGGAGTAGTGTACATCATACCCAGTATGTAGTTTTGTATCCCTCAACCTTATTGCCCTACCCCTTTATGAGTCTCCAATGTCTGTTACACCACTGTTTTGCCTTTGTGTACCCACAGCTAGCTTAGCTTTCACTTTCTTTTTTTTTTGAGACGGAGTCTTGCTCAGTCGCCCATGCTGGGATGCACTAGTATGATCTTGGCTCACTGCAACCTCTGTCCCCCAGGTTTTTTTTTTTTTTTTGAGACTGAGTTTCAGTCTTGTTACCCAGGCTGGAGTGCAGTGCTGAGATCTCAGCTCACTGCAACCTCCACCTTCTGGGTTCAAGCAATTCTCCTACCTCAGCCTCCCGAGTAGCTGGGACTACAGGCGCGTACCACCATGCCCAGGTAA